ACCTACTGGGTCCAATTAGTGCTGCCTACTACATACATATGGGTGTGGGACCATACACACACACACACACACACACACACACACAATAAAAAAGGCATTCGCAACCTACCAGTGGGCATATCCCCCCAAAAAACTGAGCGCCTTCCTTATCCATGCTGAAATGCTGACTGTCTTGATCCTAGGCAGGTCTTGTGCAGGTAACCATATGTGCTACTAATTCATGAGCACAGCAACCATACCATGTCCAGAAGACAGCATTTCACAGCACTCCTCCCCCACCCTCTGACACTTAAATTCATTCTATCCCCTCACACTCAGTATTCCCCGAACTTTGGGAGCATTGGTCTGGATGTCCCATTTAGAACTGAGCACGCAACAGTCACTAAATCTCTGCACTTTGACCAGTTATGATTCTTTGCACTGACTATTGCCACTGCTTCCCCCCTAGGACCTAGAACCTCCCAACCATAGTCCTCAGTAAGGTTTACAGCACCAGACATGAATTCACTCCTATCAGAAAGCAGTTGGTCAGCCCCAGAACCTTTGTGCCAACCCTGCACCAGTGGGCACATCTTGCCTGACAGGTAGGCATTTTAGTGTGCAGGGTCCACCAACAGTTACATCTATTGATGACTTTTCTCACCTAGCAGCTGGCATAGGCAGCAGAGAGGAAGTTTTCTGGTCAGTTCCAGTTTCATTTATCTATGTCTTGCAACCAAAATGTGGTGTATTTTCAACAATACGATCTTATCATCCAGTTACGGTAGGCAGCCAACAGCAATGGTAACAGCCTGTGTGGTTTTAGAGGCTTCTGGGATTTGTTTATTTTTTAATCTGATATCTCCCTTATCCATATTATTTAGAGTTTTTTATATTAGGAATAGTATTGTGATTGCCAAACACAAAATAAATCCAATTTTTCAGAAACATAATGCAATACAATCTTTACTTCCTTTTGGATGCCTTTCATTGAAGCATCCATCACTTTCTTGAAACTTTATATTGCAACTCCAATACCAGTATCTAATGCAGCGTACAGTTCTAGAAAGATGAGGATGAGAAACATTCATTCAATTAAACTATTTGGATATTTTCATTCACATTTTAAATGTCTGTACATAAGCACTGACCCCAAATTTTGAGTGTATAAGCAATAAATATAGACCAATATTTCAAGAGTTTACATGAAGGAGAATACACAGAACCAAAGTTTATAGCTGGGAGGAGTGAGGAGCTAAGCTGAGGATACTGACTTCAGCCTCTCACTCTGCCGATCTGATATGCCACCAGAGATGCAGAAGTGACCCCTTTGGTGATTAACTTTGTCCTCAGAAAGGAATTCCATAGCCCCGTGTGTATCATCTCAGGGAAAAGGAGCAGCTGGCATAGGCAGCAGAGAGGAAGTTTTCTGGTCAGTTCCAGTTTCATTTATCTATGTCTTGCAACCAAAATGTGGTGTATTTTCAACAATACGATCTTATCATCCAGTTACGGTAGGCAGCCAACAGCAATGGTAACAGCCTGTGTGGTTTTAGAGGCTTCTGGGATTTGTTTATTTTTTAATCTGATATCTCCCTTATCCATATTATTTAGAGTTTTTTATATTAGGAATAGTATTGTGATTGCCAAACACAAAATAAATCCAATTTTTCAGAAACATAATGCAATACAATCTTTACTTCCTTTTGGATGCCTTTCATTGAAGCATCCATCACTTTCTTGAAACTTTATATTGCAACTCCAATACCAGTATCTAATGCAGCGTACAGTTCTAGAAAGATGAGGATGAGAAACATTCATTCAATTAAACTATTTGGATATTTTCATTCACATTTTAAATGTCTGTACATAAGCACTGACCCCAAATTTTGAGTGTATAAGCAATAAATATAGACCAATATTTCAAGAGTTTACATGAAGGAGAATACACAGAACCAAAGTTTATAGCTGGGAGGAGTGAGGAGCTAAGCTGAGGATACTGACTTCAGCCTCTCACTCTGCCGATCTGATATGCCACCAGAGATGCAGAAGTGACCCCTTTGGTGATTAACTTTGTCCTCAGAAAGGAATTCCATAGCCCCGTGTGTATCATCTCAGGGAAAAGGAGATTATATGTCATTCTACTTATAATGGTAACAAACAAGTTTGAAAGCTGTGAAGCATTTCTCCACATTATCTCACATTAGCTTTGTGTCAAATGAGATAGGCAGAAAGGCATCATTATCTCCCGGGGAAATGAATTGCCTCTGATGTACACCACAGTGTGAAATGGCAGGCTATATTCTTATCATCAGAAACCTGGGC